TTTTGGCTATTTGTATCGATCAACTGAAAATAGCCCAGTAGCATCCTCTTCAGTGGGATGTTATGCAGATGGTGGTTACGATCACCATGGATATGGGAGCTCTGACAGTGCTACTCCCCAGCTCCCGTCGGGAACTTTACGGTGCGGCTCTGAAGGGGAGTTACATTTATTGAGACTAATAGTTAAAAAAGGAAATTCATTAAGCACCTCTACCATAGCAGGCACTGTGCTATGTGCTCAACGCACATTATCTCATTTAATTCTCCCAAACCCTTACAATATCACTAATTTATAGATGAGGAAGGATAGTGAATCTCAGAGATTAAGTAACTTGTCTCAGGTACTCGAGCAAGTAAACGACTGGGCTGATCCAGGCCTTGGAGCTGGGACTCACTGTGCTTGGAAAACATCACGAGGCTTGGTGAACAGCAGAGCTCAGTAAATAGAAGGTTTAATTCTATCATAGGAAAATTAGGCTGGAGGGATGGTTTTACTAAAAAACAGGAATGGAGAACTGATCGGACTGCATGAATATTTTTTTACAGCAGTGTCAAACATCACTCACATGCACGTGTGCGTTCTTTGTCGTCTTCAACACTGCAGCTGCTGGGAAGGAAGGTGCATGGAGGCCGTTACTACAGCCCCTCACTTCATTTGTCCCTTAGTTGTGTTAGTTGAAACCAGAAGTTAAGATCGAGAAGTTCTTATATCTCTGATTGAAACCTATCGAAGATCTCAGATTTCATTTAAGTAAGTTTTGAGAGTGCTTCGACAAGTATTTACTGACTTAATTCATACATAGTGATTAGTTTCAAAGATCTGTAAAAGAAACCAGCTCGCTACAGCCACTAATGCCAATTATACAATTGCACAGAGACATATTTTGTTATAAATGAAAGAAAAACTTTAAAGGTGGGTATAACAATTTGCTAGGGCTGCTATAACAAAGTACCAGAAACTAGATGGCTTAAACAGCAGAAATTTACTTTCTCACAGTTCTGGAGGCTAGAGGTGGAGATGAAGGTGACAACAGGGTTGCTTCTTTCCGAGGGCCGTGAGAGAGAGAGAATCTGTTCCGTGCCTCTCACCTACCTTCTGGTGGTTTTTGGGCAGCCCTTGGTTTGTGGAAACATCACTGTGATCTCTGCCTTCATCTTTACGGAGTGTTCTCCGTGTGTGTGTCTGTATCTGTCTGTCTATCTCCAAATTTTCCTGTTATAAGGACACCAGCTGTAATGGATTAGGGCCTACCCTAATGACTGACTTTAACTTGATATGACCTCTGTAAAGACCCTATCTCTGAATAAGGTCACATTCTGAGGGACTAGGGGTTAGGACTTCAGCATAAGAATTTGAGGGGCACAATTCAACCCTTAACCCCGACCATGGACAACTGTGTGTCACGTACACCCTCTGGCTGGTGGCTCTGCCCTCCCACCTACACTAGCTGGTGTTATAGGTAGAATGTCCAGTTTGTTGAATATGTTCTGTTAAGAGGGTGTAGCTCCTGTCCAGGATAATACCCAAACAATGAAACTCAACAGTGTGATTGAAATTGGAATTTCTGCCCTCTGCCAGCCCAAACCTGCCTCAGGCTTCGAAGCCTGCAGTGGGAAAAGTGGATGTTGTCGGCTTCCCTCCTTGTTCTACCTCTTCTGCCCTTCACATCTGCTGTTTGTGACCCTCACAGAATCAGGCCTAGAGGCGTAAGGGACAAAAGCCATTTGCTTGATGGCTGGGATGCTTTCACTTGGCACAGGTGCCCTCTGGATGGCAGATGCGTGGCTCTCATTGGCAGGTTCCTGGGGGTCACCTGCCAAGCCTCCCCTGGGCTCCTTCAATGCAGCAGGCCTCTCCTGCGGTTGGCCCTTGCTCTTGTGCTCCACCCCTCCGCTGGTTATCCCCACCCCCCGGACCATGCTGTCTCTGGAAGCTATCTCTTTAAGGCAGTGCCATGCCAGCTGTCTTCCGTGGGGTCTGGTTTCGTTTTGTGGGAAAGGAGAACGTTTGCTGGTAAGGAGGTAGAGTCTACTCCCAGTGCGGCCTTTTAAACTCAGCTAATGGGTAGACAGAGCTTAGCCACAGTGTCTCACCTTTAGACTTGCTTTTCAGGCTTGAGTCAGATCCTAGTTTCTATGTTTATCTAAGTCCAGGAGATACTTATCCAGCTTTTCAGGTAGTTCCTTTGAAGCCTTTCTAGGTTGGTGTGAAGTGAAGGGGTAGCATTCTCCTCTTTCCCCCCATCGACAGAGGTGGGAGTGAACACACTGTGTACTCACACCCCTTCGCAGCATATGCTCTCAAGACCTGTTCAACTTCAGCTTGTCCGAGGCAGAAGGAGACTGAGTGGCTAAGAAGGGCAGAGTCAGATAGGGCTTCATCCTTTGCGAGTCCCGCATGGATGGTCTGTTTCCTCTGCAGGTCTTGACTTTGCCTCTCCCTGGAGGTGTACTGGTCACTCTCTGAACAGTTGAGGGGAAGGAAGAAGACCAGACTTGGGATGGTATCATTTGCAAAGGGAAACAAATGACTGTTTACTTATATTACAGAACAAGGGAGTTGGTCATTGTACATGAGTTCTAACCTTGAAGAGAGCATCCTTGCTCGCATTGCACATTTAGACATCCAGGAGGCACAGTTTAATACAAAACTTCTTTTGCTTGTTTTGTTAATTTGTAGAAATTTTTAGCTTCATTGTTTCTTTAGCACATTTGGATTGACTTAGTGGAGAACTAACCTATTACAGCTTCCCATTTTTGCCCATGTGACTTTGTACAGTATCTCTGAAGAATGTCTAATTATAGCGGGGGCTGGGGGATCTGTCTGTGTGTGTATGTGTTGAATCCAAAAGCGGCATTGTGTTTATTGTTTCACTCTGCAAAAATTGTTCTGTTCTAAAGATATGATACAAATGCTGCTTGTTTGCTGTATTTAATTTCATTATAATAGAATTCATTCAGCTTAAAATGTGATTATTTTAATGCTAAAATGTATTACTTGTATCTCTTTAGAGAATATTCAGAATTGAATAAGAAAAGATTAGTTCAAGTTCATAGCATTTGTATCATCTACATGGATAATTATAATTTATCTGTCTATGTAGTATAAAAGTATTAATCCCTTGGCCCTTTTAAAAAATAGATAATACTCAATGGAGGAGACCACAGAGTAGAGATCCAAAGTTGAGAGAAAGTATTGGAGGAATTTGAGTGGTAAAAGCTGATATGCAGATAAGCATCACCATTAAAACCGACCTGTTTAGACAGTTAAGTCAAAAGTAAACATTGGAATCTTTCAAGAATATGTCTAAAATAGTGTGGAAGACAGGATGATAATATATGAAGTAATCATTTTTGGTGCACAACGGCAGTGGCATGCAGGGAGCCGTGAGGGCACAGGGGGAAAGGAGAGGGCAGGCCCAGGGGTTAATTCTCTCTACCTTTTGTATTTGAACATAAAGAATAAGATGGGACTATATAGGTGTCTTTGTTTTATGTTGCTATAAAAGAATACCTGAGACTGGATAATGTATAAAGAAAAGAGTTTTATTTAGTTCAGGGTTCTGCAGGCTGGAAGTTCAAGGACATGGCTCTGGCTTCAGGAGAGGGCTTCCACGCTGTGTCACAACATGGTGGAGAAGGTCAAAGGAGAATTGGATTTGTGAGGAGAAAACCCAAGGGGCATCCTGGCTTTATAACAACCCACCCATGGGAACTAATCCATTCTCACAGGAACATATCCAGTCTGGCCATTCATGAGGAATCCGCACCCATGATTCGGACACCTAGGCCCTATCTCCCAACACTGGGGATCAAATTTCAATGAGTTTTGGTGGGGACAACCATATGCAATCCATAGCAATAGGCAACATAGGAAACCAATACACCTATAAATAAACTTTGAGAGGAAATGAATACAGAGATAAATTGTATCATATTAAAGAGACAAAGATATATTAAAGATTTTGATTCCCTAGAACCTAGACAATGTATACTAATAAGTACCATAGTTATAACAGTCAGTTAAGTTGCGGAGTTACAAAGACGATAAAATATGAAATAATATTAACACAGAAAGGTTTGCTTTTGGTTATATGGGGTATTTTAGAGGAAAAAAAAAAAAACCTTTACTAAATAAAAAAAAAAATAGGAGTTTGTTTTACGGAGTTTGTTTGAAGGAGTATTGACGTGATCAATACCTACTCCTTTTTGTGTACGTAATATTATTTCATACCAAAAAAGAAAAACCCAGTTTCAGGTATGAGCTAAGGTGTTCAGTTGTCTATTTTAAATCATCACTAATGAGTCTCCCATATATTTGGCTTTTGGATTTTTTTTAAAGCTTTCAGAAATAATTTTAGAAATATCCTTCCAACTATAGGAAGTGATTATTACCAGTATGAAATTTCTAGCTAGCCACATTTTGTGGTGGTATTTTACTTCATAGTGCATTGTGGGAAGTTGGTTTTACCCTTACAAAGAACAGCTTACTCACACTCACATCCTACTAGAGGGTTAGAAACATACAGCTACTGATCGATTGTCTTCAAAGCTCCTTAGAAGGATGTGGCAGAGAACTTGTACTTTGAAAACCTTTTAAAATATTCATTAGTTTATTCATCCATTGAACTAGTATTTGTTGAAGGCCTATTATGTGATACGAAATATGTTAAGATGTGATACGAAGTATGTTAAGATGTTCAGGCACAGAGATGATTAAGACACTGCCTCTGCACTGAAGGAACTCAATCTTCTGGCTTTTATCTTTTTCATATCTTCACAAAATTTCCTAACTTTATGTAAATCTAGACGTGGTTTCTGTTGCATATTTAGGGATATTTTATTGCTGTGTGGTACAGAGTATTAATGGGATAAATATCGTAAATGCTGCTGTATTGGTTAGACTTCTTGCTTTATGTGTGGCTGTGAAAGTCCCAGTGAAGTAGAATCTTACTGCTTAAATCATAATTCCAGTTTTAATGTTTCTTGACATTATTGCAGAGAATATCCAGCACGTGTTTCCCAGCAATACCAGTAAACCTTCCAACATCACTGTGAAACCAACAACTCCACTTTCCTCAGTCGTGAGCAGTATGAAACCCACAGCAACATCTAAAACGACAACATCAGGGGTGGTCTCAACAAATATGACTTCTACCACCTTAAAGTCTACACCAAAAACAAGTGTTTCACAAAATACATCTCAGATGTCAACATCCACAGTGACCACAACCCACAATAGTTTGGTGACGTCTCTTTTCTCATCAGTAACAAGTATGTATTAAAATTGACCTATTTTTCCTATGCTGCAAGTAGTTGTTAAGTGCCACATTTAGGTGGTCATTCTATTGTGCAAAAATAAATATAGAAACTTTCTAGCCTAGATTTCCCTTAATTCCCAGTTCAGTGTTCTTACACAGAAATTCAAGTTTTAGTTAATTATTAATACAATGTTTTTTAAAAAGCACTAAAGCTCTGTTTTTGTTTTTTTTTTCCTAGTCACAGCAACTGTTCATTCTAAAGACAATAAAGGATCAAAATTTGATACTGGGAGCTTTGTTGGTGGTATTGTATTAACACTGGGAGTTTTATCTATTCTTTACATTGGATGCAAAATGTATTACTCAAGAAGAGGCATTCGGTATAGAACCATGTAAGTTTTGATTGGCCAGGGCTTCAAAAAAATTATTTCTGTGTATCTTTAATTATCATGACAAAAGTATCAGGCCAGCGTTCCTCTCAGGGATGAATAATTCATAGAGTTATGAGTTATACCCCTATTATCCCTCTCTGCCCAAAGTAAACTGTTTGTGTACAAGCTTGTGATTATAATTATTTGCAAAGAAAATGGATGTATGTACCTATAAAAAAAAATTTTACTAGTGTCAAACATATTTTACCAGACACCGAAGTTAAGCCAACCCTTTCATTTGCTTATGTCACTAATCATAAGAAATACCAGGGTCTCGTCAGGCTCTTGACCTAGTATGTCTTGTGTCTGTTGGTGATACTAAGCAGCCTTGGTAAAAACATGTTTTTGCTTTCCATGACTAAGAAAAAGAAACTGGAGAAATTCCTTTGACAGCCTCCCTCATTTTTCCTGATAATTTAAACAAGTGGTTAGTATAAGTAATATACTTTATTATTTTATCTGTGGTAAAACTTTTTAGATCAGCTTTAGCAACAAGACCCAATCGGCAAACCATGTTTACCATACACATAGCTATGTAGGTCTCACAGTTTGGGGATGTATCATCTACCAGGTTTTGTTGCCCCCATAGTCAGTCCTTTTGGTTTTTGTCTTTTGAGTCTTATAGGTTGTTTTAGTTCTGGCTGGTATAATAAATTATCATAGAGCTGGGTGTCTTAAACAACAAATGTTTATTTCTTACACTTCTGGAAGCTGGAGTCCAAGATCAGGGTAGCAGCATGGTTGAGTTCCGGTAAGGGCCTTCCTCCAGATTGCAGACTGTCAACTTGTCATTGTATCCTCACATAGCAGAAAGAAAGCTTGCTAGCTCTCTGACCTCTTCTTGTGAGGGTGCTAATGCCATTCATTAGGGCTCCACTCTCATGACCTAATTACCCCCCAAAGGCCCCACCTCAGAATACCATCACATTGAGATTAGGGTTTCAACGCACATATTTTGGGGAACACAAACGTTTGGTCCGTTACACGTGTACAAGAGCCAGTTCATTCTTTTGATTGTTAATGTATATAAGAAATGTACAATAGATGACCGTTTTCCCAAACTTTGTGGGTTAATAGTTGCTATACACATGTGTTCTACACAAAGTTCCTACATCAAAAACATTTGGGAAATGGTAGATTGAATAAAGTAAACTAAAACTGTTTAGTATAAGACTTCTCTGAGCTTTTGATACACTGATGTACTTTATGAATTTCCAGGAGGGAATATAGTATGAACTGTTGCTCAGATTTTTCACTGAAATATTTATTGAATGAATAAATTCCCCTTCCCCCCTTTTCAAGAGGAGCTAGTATTTATTATCTATCTCTTGGAACTAGTATTGTGCGGAATACATTTTTGGGAAATACTGGAATAGGCCATTGGGGGGAACCTTCCAGTTTTGACACTAGATATAATTCAACATTTATATGTAAAAGCAAATTATACTTCTTAGCACTTTTTTTTTTTTTTTTTTTTGAGACAGAGTCTCACTCTACTGCCCTG